ATGGTTTGATCATCCATCTTCAGCAATTGATGAAGTTTTCGATCATTTCTTTGCATAACCAAAACAATTTTGTTTTTTTTTTTGAAGTCAGTTCTTATTGCTAGTAATAAAGTTGATTATGTTCTGATGCATTATATATTTTCTTTTTGCAAAACACCATAAAAAGTTGCTTTGAAATTCGTTCACCAAAACAATCCATAAGAAGTGTTTTGAATTAATGATAAAAATCTCTCCAATCGTGCATTCTGTTGTTGTATCGCTCACTATTTCAAAACAAACAAAACCTACAGAATTAAACTATAAAAACGCCACATGCGTTTTCTTATCTGAGCATTGCATACCTACCGCAAATAACACTGCATATGTCAGGCCATCCTCAAGGTAATGAACAAAAAATTGATGAAATTTCTTCCCGAAATCTCAAACACTCTGCAAGAGAGTGAAAACCGTTCTGTTTTCTTGTTGTTTCGTGCAGAATAATGATAGTTTCAACCATATTTTGGGAGAACTGTCGGAATCGAGACGTTGGAAATTTGTGAGAAATGATTCGAAAATCGGTAAGAAACAATCAAACACTCAAAATGCAACATTCAATTCTTGTTTGAATTGCAAGCAAGTACTAATTATGTTTGATTTGATGACGACTACAAATGAATCGTTTGACTGCTAGCTGAAAATATTTTCGTCTTGTCTTTTAAAGCTTACAACGAACAAAGTTTATCGCAGTCACTTGTGTTTGCTCAATATTATTTCATTGACATGATGTGATACGATATGATGTAACACTCCAATCAAAAACACCCTAAAATGATGAAATTACAAATATGAAAAGCAATGAAGTTACATTTTGCTTGCGAACGTATCACTGAGAATCAAGCAAACAACAATCCTATTTACTTCATCGCTCAAATGAACACCGAATCAGGTCCATATTAAATGACTGCAGTCCAAGATTGTATGCCAAACCTATTGGACCGTTTAGCTTTTGCATAATTTACGTCTGATTTAGTATTGCTTGATAATGGTGATTTCGATCACTTTTTTCCCTACTTGATACTGAAAACAACAATTTTTACAATCTGAGAAGTACGTAATGTTAATGGTCACGATGATCATCCTCGCTGATCGATTGGAACCTTATTGAAAAGCAGCAACGCTGCAAGTAATATTAAACTTCAAATCTCAGTGAATGTTCTCAATTTAGCGCCCTCCGTAACTTGCTATTCTCTGATGCCCGGTCAGCCGGAATGGTGCTGATTCGATTCGTTGCTGGTTTAGATTCTCGGCGCATGATAACAGTATAATCTGACGTAAAAATGAACGAAATCTGGGGTGCTCTGCACAGAGAAGAAGCAGTTTACCTTGGAAAATTTCTTCACCGATAAAAGTTTACGAAAGCACAAATTTATTGATAACGATTTATCATGTTGGCCGTTGCACCTTAAACCACCCATGAAACTATCATTCGTGATAAATTATTTTTGACGTTTCATCGAATCATTTCTTCTACGCTTCTTCATGTTTCACGTATATTGGTTTCTGCGATCTTCGCATTATTCTTATACATTTAATGAGATAGGTTTATACTGTTGTTTTTGGTAATGCTTTGCTTGGCTAATTTTCCATATAAACATGTCGGTTAGGCGACTTTTCTCGGAATTTTTCAGTTTTTTCAGTTTTTATCAGGATTTTTCAGTTTTTTTCGGTTTTTCTCAGAATTTTTCAGTTTTTTTCAGTTTTTCTCAGAATTTTTCAGTTTGCAATTTCTCGAGTATTCCAAGACCAATGAATAGAATGATGTTGAAACAAGAGAAGTGGTAGATAGTTGAATTTATTGACCGTATAAAGAACATGCGTGATGTTCATTCAGTAACTGGGTGATGAAAGTGAGCGATTTCGATTGAACCGAAGAAGCACTCATTCGCTTCGTTCATGAAAATTATAAGCAATAAATGATAATTTTCGTTACAGATCGGGGTGCTGGAATCTGAACATGTATCTGTTTGCCTCTTACAATTAGCTTCTCGCATAGCTACACTCATGTTTTCACGTTTTTTGCATGCAACATCATTATTCGTCAACTGAATCATTTCATGTGCTGTTCATATCGCTACGGTGATTGCAATGTAATCACTTAATCGGAACTGATTTGTCACAGCGTGATCTATCTTCAGTCAAAACTCTGCTGAACGTTCGCAACAGCCACAAAGTTGTGAACAGTCGAGGCATTCTCCAGACCAATTGGAATGGCAACAACAGTCCCGTCACTGATTACGGATCATGGACAAACGCCTGCGACGCAAAAAAGCGCGAGCAATTCACCCCATATCACAAGAAAAGTAACCGATGTGAGCAGAAATTCTTCAGTGCTGACGAATCGAACACGAAAAAGTACACTGAAAGAGTTGAGCCCTTCGGAGTTACTAGCCGATGGCACGAGCGGCTGGGTTTGTCCTGGTATCGACAACCTGATGTTAGTCGTAAGCGTTTTCCTTTAACCA